TTGCAGCTGCGCAGCGCCGCAGCGGTGTTGCAGCTGTGCAGCGCCCCAGCGGTGTTGCAGCTGCGCAGCGCCTCAGCGGTGTTGCAGCTGTGCAGCGCCCCTGTGGTGTTGCAGCTGTGTAGCGTGGCAGCTGTGCCGCCTGGCTGCAGAGTCCGCGTGTGCTACAACTCTGTACGGCGGGTTCCCGCTCATTGGTGTTCTTCTTCTGCTGTTTGAGTCACTACAGCTGAAGCAGCATATTGCTGAACTGCCCGTGTGATTTCGACGACTTCCACCACACGGAATGCCCCACCTCCAAGTAGCTGAATAGCGATAGGTTGACCTTGTGTCTGAAGGTCTTGTGCCGAGGGAGGTCTGCAAGTGGTCTCCGCCACAGGGTGACGGCAGACGGATCCTGACCTTTGCAGAGGTGAACGTTGCGTTTGCGTGTGTTGGTGGAGAGACGTGGCATGTCTGTGGTGTGGGCCGCCGCGACGTTCTCTTGATGAGAACACCGCATCCAGCACTGCCGGCGTCATCGACGTTCCCCTGACGTCTGCGCCTCAGGCCTGACCGCACCGTCGTCATCATCATCATCACCTGCCCAGACGTGACGCGATGCGCCTGCCGGCGATCCTGCTGCTGGTTACGCTGCTGCTGCAGCCGGCGGCCGGCTTCATCAACTTCATCACGAGCCGCATCCTGGCCATTCTGAGGACTGATGCTGTGCTGGGGCAGGAGGTGAGGCGTGGGGGCGAGAAGAACGGGAAAGAGAGGGTGGGGGAGGCAGAGGGGAAAAAGAAACAAGGTGAAGGAGAATGGTTGGGAATAATGGAAGAAGGATATATTTGGGATAAAGAAACATCCATTACACGTGCTCACGAAAGCTTATGCGCTGAAAGGTATTTGAAGTACTTTTAGGAAGCATTGATATTCAACAAACAATTACCGAACAATGTTTGCATTCATGAAATTTATCATGGAAGTTCAGATGGTTGTAACACGTTTATCGAAAACGGAGCTTATAACACGAAACGGGCCTCTTTACAGACACCTGTGACTCAGTCCATTCGTTCATCCAGATTGTAGGGTAATACCAGGCATAGCAACCCAATTATGGTAACGGTGTGGTCCTCGCGGGAGCGTCGGTGGTCCGGTCACGCTACCGTTGTTGGCATCGATGCTGTGTGAGGTAAAGCGGGCTTTGAGGATCATTTAATTCAGGAATCATCCATGGTGGACCATGTTTAGATAAGTTAGCTCTGAAAGCAATGCACCTATTAACAAGAACGCAGTCAGGACACAAAATACAGCCTTGGATACAGCCTTGTTGCGTTTGCTGAAGGAAAGATGTGCTACGGATTTTCGTAATAAAATGTTTCAAAAAGTCTCGGTAGGATGAGACCTGACATCGTAACTGCCCGTACAACCATGGCATGGTCAAATCCGACAGATTTGATCCGATCATCATCTGATTCGATCCGATCAGAATCCGATGCGATCCAATCAGAATCCGGTTTTATCCGATCAGAATCTGGTTTGATCCGATCAGAATCCGATTCGATCCGCTCAAAGTCAGATTTGATCCGATCAGAACCCGATTATGGTCAGATCAAGTGTCACGAAAGCATCCGCATTGCACGACGGGCAATTTCGCTACCACTTCCCAAAGACCGATTGTTGAGAACTTGTGCCGACTTGTTCATCTCCACGAGGTAGCCTACGTGGCTTGTGCTCGTAAACGTCTGTCCAGAATAAATATTCGAAACAGGACATCACGAATCAGTCAATCTTTAGCTTTGCATCGCCAGTATTTGCGTGTCGTGCACTCTCCCTGGTCCCGGCCTCCTCCACACAAAAAATACGAGTTTTTTCGAGGTCAAACAAAATTCGTGTCGTTCCGACCATGTTGCCTGTCGGTGGACGCGCCTCCGGCCAGGTTTGCTGTTATAGTGTTCTGATACGGCGTTGGCGTTAACACCGCGCAAAATTTGTAGTCTTTCAGCACGCATTTTCAGTCGATGTAAGCGAATGTTTGATAAAAACCAGAAAATCTGCTGCATTGTCTTTCCGAGTTTGTGACCGGTTTGTACCAAGACCCATTGCCAGGTGTTCCAAGGATGATGAAGCCGACTCACAGCATACCAGTGTGCCGGATGGGTGCAGCGTACGTACGTGCGGGGCCGGCAGCGCCGCATGACCTCACGCCACGTGACATACTTAAGCAGGTGTCCCAATATTACAGATAAACAAAGATGCCGCGGTTGTTTTGTGTGCGAACCTGTCCCGCGAGTTTCTTCAGAGTGCGTGGACAAAACATTTCGTCATCACTTTGGTGCCGCGAGCCCGAAATGCCACGTGACGGGACGCACGGCCCACCTCCGATCGGCTCAACGCAATTCGTCCCCCGCTCGCGCCTCCGCGGCTTTTCGGCAGTCGCAGCACGACTCCTGTCCGCGCTCTCTCCCGCAGCCGCCCACAGACGGGCGGTAGCGCGGCGTCCGCGGGCCGGACATCCGGTGGGCGCGCTGTGTACCCGACATTCCTCTCGGCGGCGGAGGGTCCCGGCGGAACGGCGCCAGTTCTTTCCGTTCCTCGTTCGGCAGCCGGTGTGCTCCCGGTGTGCTCCCGGTGCGCCCCCGTGCTCCCACGACACTGTGCCCCCGTCGTCTCGAAGTCACACGGCCTTTGCCGGCCTGGGGTGCCTTTTGCAGGCACCGTGAGGTTTGCTTGTGGAAAACTGCTATCCGCGTGAATCGCGCGAAGGTGTCGTTTCAAACCTCGGAGCGAAGTCACTGCCTCGGGCTTCTCACCAGCGCCATTGGTATCCATTTGCTTGAATCCTCTATTTACATCACCTGTTTGGACTTAAGCCCTTTCTGCTCACCGATTTCGAAGCCCGAATTCCAAGCCGCCGCGCCTGGAGGCGCTGTTTGGTTCGGCGCCCACGAGCTGCTGGGGACGCCTGCGCCGCCGTCGGGTGTTGCGCCACCATGCAGTGGTCGTCAGTACTGGCGGCACTGCTGTGTCTGGTGGGGCCGACCACGCACGCGCTGCTCACCTTCGGGGGGTCGCCGTATGTCGACCTGAAAACACCGGCGCTGCTGAATCGTGGCGCAGTGAGTCCTGGGCTGCGGGGGATCTGTGTCGGTGTATGTATCGGGATCTGTGCCGGTGTTTGTATCGGGATCTGTGTCGGTGTATGTATCGGGATCTGTGTCGGTGTTTGTATCGGGATCTGTGTCGGTGTATGTATCGGGATCTGTGCCGGTGTATGTATCGGATCTGTGTCGGTGTATGTATCGGGATCTGTGTCGGTGTATCGTATCTATCTGTGTCGGTGTATGTATCGGGATCTGTGTCGGTGTATGTATCGGGATCTGTGTCGGTGTATGTATCGGGATCTGTGTCGGTGTATGTATCGGGATCTGTGTCGGTGTTTGTATCGGGATCTGTGTCGGTGTATGTATCGGGATCTGTGTCGGTGTTTGTATCGGGATCTGTGTCGGTGTATGTGTCGGGATCTGTGTCGGTGTTTGTATCGGGATCTGTGTCGGTGTATGTGTCGGGATCTGTGTCGGTGTATGTGTCGGTAACGGTGGGATAGATGTCCTGCAACTTTCCATTCGCCGTTGAGTTATTTGGTCCATTGTTTATTTGATTGTCTTCCATTTTCTTCATTCGTTCCACGTTATGTGTTTAGCGGTCTGGTATCAGCTGGCAAATGATCTTCCGAGAAACCGTACGTTGCCAACAAGAGCGACTGTTTAGTAGGATTGTGTGACACCAAAACAGATCTCTCACATCCTACCGACACCATGCACACCCTCCCGTTTGACCAAATAGGCAATGCGAAAAACTGAATTATAAAATGCTGCTTATGCCTGATGTTCTGAGAAAGGTTCTCTGTTGTGATCATTGCGACCCCCAATTACAAATATTCAGTCTTGCGTATCACTCAGAGCCCAATGATGGAGGCTTTAAATTGCAGATACCATCTTTCCTTTCCGATTATGACGTAGAAAGTGATCGCATATGAATGATAACATCTCAAGCGGCATTCATCTTTGATTCAGCAATGCCATGGCCAACAGGGTTTTGACGTGCGTACTGAGGTACCCATACAGATGACTGGAGTTTCCTTAAAAATGTATTTTTTACGCGGTCCATGTGTCAGATATCGGAACGCCTTACATCCGCACGCAGTGTGCGATGCGGATGAACGCAGTTTTCCATACTTTTATGGGACGGGCGCCGTAGCCCCCACAAAATGCTCCCAAATTTTGGTTCGTGGCCGCGGACGAATGCGTCCATCAATGCGACATGCGTGTTTTGATTAAATAACAAAGTCGTTTGAGCTGTGCCGCCTCCCCACGGCATTATGTGGAAATCCGCCTCCCCACGGCATCATGTGTGAATCAGCCTCCCCACGGCATCGTGCGTGAATCCGCCTCCCCACGGCATCATGTGTGAATCAGCCTCCCCACGGCATCATGTGTGAATCCGCCTCCCCACGGCATCATGTGTGAATCCGCCTCCCCACGGCATCATGTGTGAATCCGCCTCCCCACGGCACCATGTGTGAATCCGCCTCCCCACGGCATCATGTGTGAGTCAGCGTCCCCACGGCATCATGTGTGAATCCGCCTCCCCACGGCATCATGTGTGAATCAGCCTCCCCACGGCATCATGTGTGAAGGACGTTCACAGCTCCACCCGCGTCTGTCGGCAGTACGTGACTCCTCTGGCCATGGCCATCGTGCTGGGCACACTGATCGCCGGGCAGTACGGCTTCCTGCCCGTCAGAACCAAGCAGGTGGTGAAGAAGCTGCAGCGGCTTCACTACGAGTCCCACCTGGAGCCGCCCCACCGCCGACACCGCCGCGCGCTCGGCGAGGAGGCGCTGGACTGGCTGCTGCAGGTACTGCGCTGGGGCGGGTGCGGGTACAGGCTGCGGATGGGGGCCAGGGTACAGGTGCCGTGTGCCTGGGTACAGCTTTTCAGCCGGGCGCGGGCTGATTTTTTAGCCAAGCAGGGCGCTGCTGGCCCTCGTTTGACCTGAGAGAAGATAACAGCGTCAGATCTCAGGGATGTATTTGATAGAAACTTAAAAGCACGATGGTAATGCGTTTGGGATGCAGTGAGTACCGATATTACCTGAGGACCAAACAACTTCCGGGCCATTAAAGTAAAATTCAGCGAATGAAACACATTGTATCCCCAAAAAGACCTGACGAAGTAAAACCCAGCTGGTTGCGCCAAGGCAACACTTGCGAGACGCGCTGGTGCCTACTCCCCGGGAAAGCTAGATCACTTTGCGGCAGATGTGGGGCGCCGTTGTTTGTGGCTCACGTACTAGATGAGTGTCGGGGCTCCGAGATTGAGCAGAACCGCTGTCTTAAACTGAGCCACATTACCTAGCTTCTCTATTAAGTGATCCCTTGTCGATCGATCCTCGGGCAGTTTTGATCTTTCTGAGAAACACGGACTTCAAACTTTGGTATTCACCGGCCCAGACAACTGAACATGTGCATACCACATGGTGTGGGTACGTTTTGTTTCTAAGCCGTACTGTTCTGGTAAGCAGCTGACGGGCGTGCTGACACGTAATGCTGGCAATCTGTTGTCAGATTCTGTTCATAGTTTGCTGACGTAGTTCCTTCAAAACAAAGCACGGACACAAATTACCAACGTAGTTGAAACCCTGTATCTGACAACTGAACACGGTTTTGAGCTTGTGGGACCGGGGTACACTTACGTTGCAGTTCAAGGTACGGGTTTGAGGTACACACACGTGACTGAGAGCAGATGTTGGATTTGCAAGACATCTGATCGTATTTGCCACGTGTCTTATGGTCTTTGGAATGAATATAATGGGTCAAACGTTCTCAGACGCTTCATACGCTGGATGAGGCAACAGCCCGCCTTGCAAACGGCCAACGAACTGGAGGCAAACGGAGCGGCACGTGGAAATAGGCGTGAGCATTCCAAGTCGTCTGGATAGCAGCGGTTGTACCTTTTGGTGGCGGGAAATTCATTAACACTCCTGCACACCAGTGGCCGATGTGTCGTTTGTTTGAGTACGCTCAACTTGAACTTAAGAGTTCAAGTTGGGCGTACCCAAACAAACTTTAAGAAATCCTAAAAGACACGTTAAGACCAACACTAAGACGGCAACTGGAACATTGAATATAAAACTATTAACTTAGATCTACAGATAACTTGTTTATTGAAGCTTATAACAAACAGATTAACCAACATGTCTGCTTATTTCTTGTTTATGGCGCCTTGATCACTGAAAACCGTTAAGTTCGGCACGAATCATTTCGTGGGTTGTTTGACATTTTCACAAGACAGTTAAAAAAAGACAGGATCACCATACCACATCGAATTAAGACAACGTTCTGAAGCCTATTCAGTGAAGTGAGCTATGATGTTTTCAACTGCGCTGAAAAAGACATTGGTCGTTTTTCTAAGTCATAACGGTGTTTCTCTTCCATGCGTATATGCACGTTTGATGTACTCCCGTCGAATGCATGCGTTAATCATTTTGATTTTGCAGCATTCTGAACCTGCGACTGGTGACGCTGACTGAACAATGCCTCAAAGACTCTGCAGCGGCTCTGCATGGAACCCATTTTTGACATCACACCCAGGAAAATAGTCATGAGAACTGTGGCAGCGCTTGAGCTGGCAACGGCCATTTGAGAGCTTTTATAAGTTCAGTTTGATCTTTCGCCTTGTCGATGACAGGTTTGTGTGCCATTGACAATGTTTCAAGATCATGCAGGCTCAGATGGATATGTGCGACTGGTAAACGTCTAACTGATCGGGTCTTCAAGTCATCCAGGCTGCCAACGTGCAATTTTGGCTGTTGAATTGATGCGTTGTTACGATGACCTGTTCATACGTTTCACATTGCTTTTTACCACATAGCCTATGTATGTGTGACAACATGATGCTCTAAGGTGTTTTATTGGAGCTGTTCCGTTATTTTTTGGCTATATGTGCAAATGTGTCCAATAACTTAGTCTTTATGTACCTTCTGCCTTTATTTGTTTGGAGGCACTGGCCATTTTCCGCTTGCATTATTAGACAAGAACCTGATTTGGTACCAACTATAAAATCCACTGAAACAGGATGAGCAGGGAAGAAACTTATCATTCGTCGCCACCTTTATCAAAGTAGTCAGTTCATTTTGCTCCACAACAGCTTTTGTTTCGTCATTATCTACCAAGTTATTAGTTAATTTTGAGAACTTGGTACGATGGGGCAAAATTATGAACAGCGCAAACGTGAAATGGCGAATAGGTGCAGCATAAACCAGTAGAACGCCTGCGGAATTTTTTTTCGGTTTTTCTTACAGCCCGGACGACAAACCACGGGTTTTGCTCACGCTCGTCACATTTGTTGTAAATTCGATTTCGCACCACATGGGGTCTCTGTCTAATGATGAGAATAAAGCATGCATATCTTTCTAGTTTGTCCTGTTTAATATGGTCCACTGGCCTCTGGAATGTCCTCAGCAATACGACACGCACTGTTCTGCTGTCAGTCTCACCCTCACCGATATACGTATGTGATAATCAGAACCCATTTGACACGGCTCTGGTCAACATTGTCGTAACAGGCGATAAAGCGACAGCTTCGAGCTCACAACAGCCATTGTCAAAGTTGAGTAAGTCTTAGCCATTGCGAGGGCTAATTTCGCTATGCACTGTGATCAGATCTTTTCTCTGGCTGCCAAAGGTTACAATGTGGTGCCAAAACATTGCAGGAGGTTATATAGATTACTCGCTATGCCGAGATCGACTGGAAGCGATGTACAAAGCACGTGCAGCAAGTTTGGCGCGTGACAAATCAGCTGTGGGTCGCAGGTGAAACTCTAGCCCGGCGCGCATGTGAAGCGTCGTTGACAAAAACAGCGGCCATCGGGAACCGGTTGGTCGCCTGTCAGCGCTTCCGTCAGGGCACCGAGGCATGGCGCTGTGTGACGGATGCCCCACCGGCCCGGGACCCGGTTTGGAGGCCCCAGGGGCCCATGAGTATGGGTTGGAAGTTCGATGGGCGTCGTAAGCTGTCAACAAGTACCGCGGTCCTGGGCCCCAGAAGTCCTCGCACCTCCAGGGGGAGAGGCGGAGATGTAGTTTCTTGTTCAGTTGGGTTGGCTCCAGCCCGTCCCCCCCCCCCTCCCCCAGCTTGGGCGCCGCTTGCCCTAAATTTGAGAAGAAAGTTGGCGGAATCCATAGAGAACTCCGCTTCTTGGTGGCTTTTTCGAGGTAGATTTTGTCATGTTTCACTGCTCAGCCCTTCCCCCAACTCATTTAGCGAAACTACTCCCCTGGATGGGGGCTGGGGAGGGCATGATCCCAAAATCCCCCTCCCTTGGCTACGCCAGTGGTGCAGACCCTCATCAACGTGGACTCAACAGCCATGCTGAGTGTTGGGTCAGTGGCGTGGCGGGTGTTGGGGCCAGTTCGTTATATCTTGACGTTGTGACATTTCAATTTGATACCTAATTAAGACTCAATACTTATTACTTCTCGCATTCCAATCGCAGACACATGATAAGCAGTTCATGAAGGCTTTGCATGCTGCTTATGGAGCCCTGGTATGCCTCCAGTCGATGTGTGGTATGATGTGCTTGATGTGTGGTATGCCGCCTTCAGTAGCCTCGAATCGCCTCCACAGAGGCCTGGCATGACGTCCACGGAGGCCTGGTATGACGTCCACGGAGGCCTGGTATGACGTCCAGAGCTATGGCGTGACTGACAATATGTACGTGCCGCTTCATGAGGTTGCGTGTTCGCGGTGCCACTCTTTGCCGGGGGCCGTCCGTACCAGAACAATTCTGGCTTTTTGAATCCGCTGATATAATGCCAGATACTGACCCGACAACTCCCCTTGTTTCGCTTTTTTGAGGTCCGACATGCCAAAATGAGGCTATTTTGACGATGTTTGCTACGCATTGCAGTGTTCATTCAATGTGCACACAGCTGGAGGCGAATTACTTCGATCCATGCCGAAATCTGCTTGTTGAATACATTCCATTTTATTCTGGTCAGCATATTGAGAGACGCATTACGGATACTGTACCAGCTGTCACAGCGTTTCAGTGACCGTATCGGTATCAACTTTTGCTCAGATCTTTTCATGGCCGTGCTCCAAACAGTTGAACACCAACATACCTGTGGCACCGAAAGCTGCACGTCGATAGTGGCGTGTCGATACTTGGCATGCCGACATTTTGCGGTTGATAGGCTGTCCGTCGATATGTATCGTGTCAATATTTTGCCACGCAATTTCTGGGCTAAATAGATGTGTAAAATGTGTGGGTGTCATCGCTCACCTAACAGCCTTCTGTGGGCTTGCTTAGCCGCCGCCTCCTTTATCCATCGCTGTAAAATGTGTGCTCTTACCCGCGAACTCAAGACTGGCAACAGGTGACAGCTTTGAGTGATTAAACCAAAGGCCTTAGCCGGTGAAATCACCGTTAATTCTACATTGTGTCACCCTTCCTGCGTATTCACTAAATCCGCTTTTGCGAATCAAAGATCCTCTAAGGGCATGGCGAATGGCCACATGTGGCGTATTTTATGACATGAACCCATATTTCAGACGCACTGGGCTTCTGTAGGTGTAGGCGATGTCGGTAATCAGGTAGGCAATCTAGCAATGCAGGCGTCTGGAAATACCTTGATTTGCCCTGGCACGCCTGTGACAAGCTATCTCTGCGGGGCCTCTCCTGTAGACGGTGCAGAGCATCTAAAATGGGTCGAAATTTACAAACATAAAGGTCAAGGGAAGCATTACCAAATTTTGGACTTTCTATCTGAGCAATCTGCGTACATTGCTGGGTCGTAGCCTCCTTTGGTCACAGCATAACTCCCTGCACTGCGTTCTGGCTCTCGGTCACCGAAGATCTTGCCGTTATTACGGCCTCCTCTAATTCCAGATAGAGTCTCTTGCACACGACCACTCCCATCCATACTCGATCCCGTCATGCCTGGGGTATCGTCTCGATCGTTACAACAACCAGCGGCCGTACCAGGCCCGGGAACAGTTCAGGCACTGAAATGACACCTGGCGATCCAGGCAGATGCATGGCTGTCATCTATATATGCATTTATTTCCACGTGCTGTCTAGCTTAATGAGCTTTCACTGGACGTCAAAATACATAAATGGCCTACTCCGCCCACTCACATCTGCGCCACAAACATTGGGACGCGTCATTGGATTCAAGTACGAATGGTGGTGTCAAATATAATGTCTAACATGTCTATCTCTGGCCTAAATAATGGCGGAATCTTGGTCGCGGCCATCAAGTTTAGCTTGGCTCCTTGGCTCGGGCTGCATCAGGCATGCCTTGGTGCCTAAGTTTTCGGTGAGTAGTCAGGCAATGTTTCTAATGGGGCAAACCAAGTAAAATGCTGGTAATATATCCCTATGTGATATGTGTCATGGAATGGAAAAACTTTATTTCAGCGGTTACATAAATAGTTATAAATCTAGATGAACAAACGTTTATGGAAACTGCGATTTGACACCATATAATGTCATCTTTGTTGTTGGAAAGGTGCTAAAGTGGACCCTGAAATTTGGTTACGCAGGGCTTAAATTGTCTTAATGGAAGCGCCGCTAATGACATGTTGCTGGCCATGGCTAAACTCATGGTCCCATCACAGCCGCTGATCATGTGCATTAGATCGATTTCGGGCTGCAAGGGGGCTCCAATAGTTTTAGGGTACTCAAAAATATATATTCATCCACTTTGCGCACCTGGTGGTGCCTCTCACTGGCGATGACACGTAGCTCGAGAGACAGGTGCTTGAACATTTCGAAGACTGCAGCGAAGGGTGCCGATGGTGTAGAGGTTAACGTGTCTGCGTTAACCACTTCGCGTCTGGGAAACTAGGGGTACGGGGTTCGATTCCTTGCGGTGCCCGCTCCTCCTGCTATGGCGAGAGCCACATGGCCTCAGCTAGGGCGAGAGTCATATAGCCGAAACGCCATATAGTCATATAGCCTCAGCAACTGATTGCGTCGTACAGCCCTGATGACGGAACCGACAAAGATTGCAGCACTCCAGGGATAGGGCCATGTCAAGGTCGAGTGAACAAAGCACCGAAGGAATTGTAATGTTTTCGTCGTTTCGCGTATGTGGAGGATTAACATAGAGCACCCGAATGTTCGCCTAAATGTAGGATTGTTAGATGGCGGAGGAATTTTTCATAGACCTAACCTCTTGAGAGCCGAAACCAACTTTCTACATAACATGATTCAAACAATGCGGGTGCTGCGCCGGCGCCAGCTTTACCACCAGTGTTCAATTGGCATGCAAGGGACGGGCGGAGAATGTGCACTACCGCCCATCCGCGCAATGTAAAGGATGCCTGCACGAGCAGCGCACTCTTTTCTGCATCGTGCATGAGTTCTGGGCGACAGAAGCTCTCACTAGCACATTTGGAAGAGGCCACAGAGGCCACAGGGGCTCTCATTAGCACACTCAGAAAAGGCCACAAAGGCCACAGAGGCTCTCACAAGCACACTTACAAGAGGCCACAGAGGCCACAGATGCTCTCACTAGCACACTCAGGAGAGGCCACAGAGGTCACAGAGGCTCTCACTAGCGCACTTCAAAGAGACCACAAAGGTCACAGAGGCTCTCACTAGCACACTTACAAGAGGCCGCAGAGGCCACAGAGGCTCCCACTAGCACACTCAGAAGAGACCACAGAGGCCACAGAAGCCCTCACTAGCGCACTTTAAAGAGGCCACAAAGGCCACAGAGGCTCCCACTAACACACACAAGTTCGTGTTTGCATACTTGGCCTCTCACATTGCATATCCAGCGCGAGCGTGAT